TGGCGAGGCCGGTGGGCCAAGTCACAATCCAAGAGTGGGATACCTTGTAGGACAATTGCTGAGGGGGAGATTGTTGCAGGTAGCATCAATTGTCCTGTGACGAAGGTCAGGTGGGCCGAGTCACAATTGAATCGTGGCGCTTGGGCTGTTAAAGTAAAAAGAGTTGCGCTCTGACTAATGGCTATAGCTTTTGGCCTAGTGGTAAGCGCTCGATCCTAACAGATACAAGAGTAAGGAGCATAATTGTCAACATAATTAGAGAAAAATTAAAAGAAAGAAGAACGCTTAAGCGAATGAATGATGCGAGACCCGACCCAAATTCTCTTATAAAAAGATAAGATGTGTTTTGACAAAGAAAGAGTCTTGGAGAAGAGAAGACACGACTACGGTTAGGGTTTCATCTAATCTTCATCATTTCTTCACTTCTTCATCAATTAGAGCATTGTAATGGCCAACATTAGTGGTTAACTTTATTCTCTTAGGATTCGGTGCACTTCCTTTGAACTATTTTGTATCATGGTGATATTTTGAGATATTAATCTATGCTTTGATGTTGTTATTCTTATCATTTATGCTTTGGAATGATTTATTCTTGATTGTTTGAAGTATGATTGGAAAATATATCTTGAACCCTAGATCACGATAAGAATATTTGTTACGTTAATTGCCAGGAATGGAATGAATGTATCAATTGCTTAACATCCTAAACCTAATGCTGGAAAATCTCTTAATTGTGTGAGGAATCAACATTTATTAGGTTTTCTTATGAATTTCATGTGTGAGGAATCAACATGGATGATTTGAGTAGGTGGCATCAACATTGTTAGGTTAATTAACGTTCTTAATTGATTTAGCCATTACAAAAGAGGGATAAGGAAGGAAGTCAATCCTAAGTACCTTTAATTGATATTTTCTCAACAATTTACAGTTCTTTGTCATTTAATTTCAATTCAACTCTTATTACAAAAACCAATCTGTTTTAATCTACTTAGTAAACATAATTAGGAATTTTCATTGAAACTGTTCCTCGTGGGATCGACTTTTATTTAATCGAAATACTATACTACGATTGATAATTTTGATACGCTTGCCAATAATTCAACAAGTATTTCTAGGGTCGTTGCCGGGGAACGGTGTTCTTTGAGAATTCTTTGTTTAGCTAATTGAGTATTTTATTTTTATTTTTATTTCTGTTTTCATTTTATTTTTCAGTTTTAGTTTTTTTTTTTAATAATTGTCTTATGCTAATCTTTGTTTGAGTTACTCTTTTAATTTATGCGTTTAAGATGACAGGTATCTTCGAGCGAGTTAGAATTTAATCAAGAGATTGAAAAAACAGCTCGGAGGAACCGGGGTAGAAGAAGAAGGGAAACTCAAGAACAAACCACAAGAGAATCTGCTAATTCTTCTTTCACACTTAATTTACCAGACCCAATTATAAAAGATATGGCGGAAGAAGGAGCAAATCTGAATCTGAATCCAGATCCCAATATAAATCCAAATCAAAACCCAAATGCAAATCCACCTAGAAGAACTCTTAGAAATTGTGCTATGCAGCAAGGTCCAAGACATTTTTCCAGCATTGTCATTCCGGATGATCATACATTGCAGATGAATCCATCTTTCTTAAGCTTGATTAGTGCTCATCAATTCACTGGATTGGATCATGAAGACTCTTATATTCATTTGTCTACTTTTTATGAGTTGATTGGTACTATGGGATTTAGAGCAACAAATCTTGAATCTGCATATTTGATATTATTTCCTTTTTCTTTGGCAGGTAGGGCAAAGGAGTGGCTGAAAGCACATACTAATCAGAGTCTGACTAATTGGAGTAGTGTAGAAGAGAAGTTTCTGAATAGATTTTTCCCACCATCTTGTTACATCAAAGCAAAATTTGATATCACTTCTTTCAGACAAGGAACAGATGAACAATTTTGTGAAGCATGAGAGAAATTTAAATCACTATTGAGAAGTTGCCCAAATCATGGATTTGATGACGTTTCTCAGTTGAATATTTTCTATACTAGCTTGCGACATGATGCAAAAATGCTATTAGAGGCTGCAGCAGCAGGATCCATGTTGGATGTAGAAATTGATCATGCCACCAGAATTATTGATGCACTAGCCTTTACAGACCAACAGGTCCAACATGATAGACATCTAATTCAAAGGAAGGGAGTTCTTGAACTTAACAACAACTATACTGAATGAGAATACTTGCTTAACAACAAAGTTCACGTGACAACAGAAAAAACAAACAACATAATGAAAAACAGAAAAAACAAAATAACTAGAAATAAAAACAATTTTGACTACCTAAACACTAACACTCAAATCTTAAGCGAATTAGATCACTAATATCAACAGAAAAATAATCCCCAGCAACGGTGCCAAAAACTTGATGAACGTTTGGCAAGTGCACTAATCATTAACGTAGTAATAAAATATCGTCCTCTGGGATTGAATTTGTTGAATACTAGATTCCTAATTTAGGTAAGTTTGAGCAATTGAAAATTTGGATAAAATAGCAAACATAGAAGTATAATAAGAACTTTATTCAAAACAAGAACTGTTAGAGAATTGATTTCATACCCTTTCTTATATAATTCCAGTCTTTTTAATTGATGCAAGAAATGTAATTATCCACTCGAGTTTACCCAGAGTTGTTTTACCCCTAATCCCTTAGTAGGCAAAACTATTAATTGAATTCGAACCCCCAATCCCTTAAGTCAGTTACACCATTCAATAGAATCATAAAAAAACAATAATCTTCTCTATTGCAAACTAATTAGATATATGCCCAATTTCCCAATTGTGACAAACCCTAACCTGCTATATTTAGGATCGCGAACAACCTCCAATCTCCCAATTGTGAATATGCTCGTGGAATGAACTTGAAAATTATAAATAGAACACTGAGATAAAGAACATTAACTAAACATCAATTATCAAGAACAAGAAAATATAATTCAGAGTACTACATCAATCCTCTAACAACAGGAAAATCAGTTCTACATAATATAAAAATTGTCAAATGATAATAACTAGAACGTAACAAATGGAGAATGGTCGCCCCCCTTTTTCAGTTTCGTTCCACCTTCTTTATAGGGTGTCCCACGTTTTTTCTCCACTTGTTGAGGTAATTACCACTTCTCATAACAGTCTTGAATTTCCACAGGTTGTGGAACAATCCACAACCCACCTGTGGAACTCTTTGACTTCAATTGTGCATTTTGAACCACAAATCCACAGGTTGTGGAAACATCCACAACTCACCTGTGGAGCTCTCTGACTTCGTGCAATCTTTTGGAGTCTAATTCACAGGCTGTGAAAAAATTCACAATCAACCTGTGGAGCTTTCTGATCTTGATTTTTGCATTTTGGTATCAAATCCACAGGTTGTGGAACATTTCACAAGGTATATGTGGAATTTGCTGATCTGAAATCTTTCTATCTTGACACTAACTCCCTCCAAACTATGAATTCAAACCTCCAAACACTTATTTACAAGAACAATGCACAAACCAACATGTATGATCCAAAACAACGATAATGCATGATGAAATCGTTCCCATAATGCAATAACATATGAAATTAACCTAAATTAATGATGAATGTAATAATATTTTATCCACTCATCAATAAACTAATTATATAAAGTTAATTATATAATTTATAATTAATTAAAATGAGTTATTAAAATTTTACTATTTATTAAACTATTAAAATTACAGTACTATTCACTACAGGAAAATAGGCCTATATAAAAAGAGATTCTTGTTCATATTTTTGTATTTTTTTAAAATTAATTCAATTAATGTAGTCATGAGTATCAATATACTCTTTATTTTTTGTCTTATTTGTGATATAATAATAATATATAGGATGCATGTATTGTGTATCATTTATTTTTTTATGTATAAATGAGATGAAGAAAATGAAACACTAAATATGATTTAACTACATTATAGTGATATAAATAAAATATCTGAAATTTATTTGATAGTTAAAATTTTGTGATGTAATCTTATTTTTACGTGAGATGTGTTATACAAAATCATTTTTAAAATAGAAATAGTGATGAGAAAATAAGTGGATTTTAATCCCACGTGTGCTCAAGTGTGTAGCATTATTGATCTTAAAATAGAGCCCCAACATAAGCCATGAAAATTAAGTAGAGCTCCCACTTGAGTGGATAACCATCAAAACAAAACGAACATGACTTCTATCGTTACATTCCTCTCATTTCTAGTTTTCATCCAAAACACCTCTCTCTCTCTCTCTCTCTCATTTTTCATCTTCTCTCTTTTCTCACTTTGAATTTATCCATCACCCAATCCACGCATTTATTCCATTCCGTTTTTTTGCAAGTTAGGTCATGCAGTGACAATGTTGCATGCATGCATGCATGCATAAAGAGTGTATTGGTAAAACTCAGGCAATGAATATTTGACGAAGCATAAACCTGATCGGTGAAGAGGGAGTGAGTTAACATACGGGTTACAATGATAGCAGCATTGGTTGCCATGGAAAAAAGTGCAGTGGCGTTTAAGGTAAATGAAACGAAAGAAATAATATGCTATTCAGCCACCATGATAACATCAAATGGGATATGGCAAAAGGAAAACCCATTGCACTATGCTCTCCCTCTCTTTCTCTTGCAATTAACGTTAGTTGTTGTTGCCACCCGTTTATTTGTCTTCGTACTCAGGCCCATTCGCCAACCACGCGTTATTTCTGAACTCATGGTTCGTCCATTTACCTTATGATGATTTTATTTTATTCCATTTTCTACTATGAATCCAAACATGGTTTTAAATCATAACTAATGTGTTGTTACATGCATGCATGTGTAGGGAGGCATATTATTGGGTCCTTCGTTGCTTGGAAAAAGCCAAGCATTTACTGAGGCAGTTTTTCCAAAAAGAAGTACAATCTTGATTGAAACAATGTCAAATGTTGGCATCGTATATTTTATGTTCTTGGTGGGAGTGGGGATGGACGCAACAGCACTAACACGCATAGGTAGAAAAGCAGTGGCCATAGCAGTTGTAGGCATGTTCTTGCCTTTCGCATTTGGAGCTTTCTTTGCTATCTATTTGATCAGATTCGACGAATCAACCAAAAGCAGCGCTTACGTCCTATTCCTTGGTTCTGTTCTTTCTGTGGCTGCGTTTCCCGTTCTTGCCAGAATCCTTGCAGAGCTCAAATTCATCAACACTGAGTTAGGAAGGATTGCTCTTTCATCTGCACTCGTCAATGATCTGATTTCATGGATACTCTTGGCTCTGTCTATTAGTTTGGTGGAGAATAACAAGCCTTCTTTGTCACTCGTGTTGATTTTCTTGGCAGCTGTACTGTTTGTTGCTTTCAATATTTTTGTTGTGAGACCTGGGATCATGTGGATGATAAGGAGAACCCCCGAGGGTGAAGCATTCAGTGATCTCCATATGTGCATAATATTATCCGGTGTGATGCTCTCAGGTTTGATCACAGATGCTATTGGAACCCATTCAGTCTTTGGAGCCTTTGTGTTTGGTTTGACAATCCCAAATGGACCTCTAGGACTCTCTCTTGTGGAAAGGGTCGAGGACTTTATGACACTGCTTTTGCTCCCTCTATTTTTCGCCTCCAGTGGCCTAAAGACTGATCTTGGACTCCTCAAAGGGTTCTACACATGGGCAATGTTGATCATTCTTGTTATTTTGGCTTGCATTGGCAAAGTCATTGGAACTATGGCTGCTGCAATCTATTATCAAATGCCAGTTCGTGAAGCAGCAGTCCTTGGCTTGCTCATGAACACAAAAGGCGTTATTGAAGTTATTGTACTTAACATTGGCAAGGATCAAAAGGTACTACCGTTACTGTTACATAGATACGAAATAATATAATATAAAACCTTTCCTGTGAATTCTACTAGTCATCTATGACATGTGTTTCATAAACATTTGCCAAAAATTAACCGTAGATATGTGAAGTGATGATACCATTAATTGTACATAATTATTTGTTTCTCCTTGCTAAGTAGTTTAATTAGATTCTATAGTGTTTGATGCTCTGCCCCATTCTTATAACAAAATTGACGATCAACGTGAAGGTAATTAAGTGGCTCAAAGGGGCTCTTCGTAGGATGAATGTGTTAAAAGTATATAACATAAATGGTTCACATGTCTTGATCTAATGGTGAATGGTTTTGGGATTGTTATTGATTGCTTACAGGTTTTGACCGAAGAATCATTCGCAACCATGGTGATTATAACCGTACTAATGACCGCAGTAATTGTACCTGGGATGTCACTTATACACAAACCAACGAGGGCGGTGATACCTTACAAAAGAAGAACCATTCAGATGTCACACAGAGATTCAGAGTTCAGAGTCCTAGTGTGTATCCACGCCCCTCGAAATGTGCCAACAATGATTAACCTCCTTGACGCCTCTAATCCTACAAAGAATTCCCCAATATGCATTTACGCGCTCCATTTGACCGAACTCACTGGCCATCCATCTGGATTACTCGTTGTTCACAGTCATACGTCCAAGCAACCAGATACACCAGCCTTTTACAGGACTCAAACTCAATCTGAACACATTATCAACGCATTTAAGAATTATGAGCAAGTTGCTTCCCACGTCACAGTGCAGCCCTTGACAGCAATCTCCCCTTACTCCACCATGCATGAGGACGTATGCAACTTGGCTCAGGACAAGCGTGTGGCCTTCATAATCGTTCCTTTCCACAAACATCAAGCTATTGATGGTGAAATGGAGTCCACGAACATGTCATTTCGTACTGTGAACCTCAATGTTCTGAGCAAAGCACCGTGCTCAGTTGGGATTCTAGTGGATAGAGGCTTGCATGTGTCCCATCTGGCTCCAGATCAAAAGTCTCACTACGTGGCAGTGTTGTTCTTTGGAGGGCATGATGATAGAGAAGCCTTGAGTTATGGATGGAGGATGTCAGAACATCCATCGATAAACCTTACTGTGATGCGTTTTCTTCATGAGGAAGAAGTTATACATCAGCATAGTGACCACAATCCTGATGAACTAACCGTGAAAACGGATAAGGACACTCAGAAGCAACTTGATGAGAAGCTTTTACATTGGTTTAGGACAAGCCATGAGAATGAAGGTTCAGTTATTTATGTTGAGAAAATGGTGAACAATGGGGAGCAGACAGTGGCAGCAATAAGGTCAATGGATGATATTCATGACCTTTTCATAATTGGGAGAGGTCAAGGAATGAAGTCACCACTCACAGCAGGGCTCACTGATTGGAGTGAGTGTCCCGAGTTAGGGGCAATTGGGGACTTGTTAGCTTCATCAGATTTTGCAGCCACTGCTTCAGTGTTGGTAGTGCAACAATATGTTGGGGAGGAAATGGAAGAAGATGGACCGGGAACACCAGAAGGAGCAGACACCACCACCATGATGACAAACGAAGAATTTCTCAATCGAAATGGATCTCACCCAACACAGCAAAGGGACACAATAAGTTCAAATAGGAAAGTTTCTCAGTGACCCATATTTATCTTGGTGGTGAAGTCCTACACTGCAAACTTGGAAGAGAAAGGCTTGCACGGACATTTTAAAATCCAATTACTATGTAACTGCAGAGTACAAAATCTGAGGTAGGTGAGGAGGTAGATATCATGTAAATTCTTTTTTTTTTTTCTTCACTCTTAATGTTCATGTTTATGAACATGTTGTATGATTAATAGATTTTTTATTCTTAAAACATGTATTAAAGGTTAATTTTTAGACGAATATAAGTACTTTTAAATGGATAACTCGACCATGGGAAAACATCTAAAAGGATCAATTTGACTCTGAAAATGAATTAATTTTTGAAAAAACTACTAATTTAAATAATTTTTCAAAAAAATCCAATTTCATAATTTATGGGTCAAATTAACCCCTTATTATGACTTTTCTCTCAACATCTCTTACTCACACAAAATTAGTGAATACATTAAGAGTTATATTCACGTAATTTATTTATTTGTTAAAAAAATGTGAAGTCAACAAGAAAAGAAATGAAAATGTGATAAAATAGTTTATGTAATAAATTAAGTTGACAAAGTATATCTAAATAGTACTGTAAAATATTGTATATATAAAATCATGTTCTCAATGATAATAATCCTTCAAAGAATTAGTTTTTATGCATCATAATTATTTTATTTGTAAATTGATTATTCAAGGTTTTATTTTTAAAATATATACTTAAAAAGGAATTAGATTGCCCAATAAATGTTGTTTAATTGCCAAACACATGCTTCAGATCAGGTGAGTCTATGGAAAAAGGTTCAACTTTCACAGATACATCTTTAAAAGGCAAACACACAATTTCTTAACTTATGCAAATCGACCAAAACTTATAAGAGTACTTTAAAATCCTATCGAAGACTAAAAATCTTAATTGTAATAATTAAATATCAGAAACCAAATTTTGTTTGATGATTTTAAAATATGTTTAATGAGAGTTATTTAGAAGAGTTTTTACAAATAAAATATATAAATTTTATATGTATAATTACTAAAATACTTATTTTAAATAATTTTTTATATGTAATATCTATATTAAAATAATATTATTTTTTTTATCGACAAAAACTAATGCTGAACATCTCTTCATCATGTCACGACAAAAATTAGGTGTAGACATATTTTTGTTAAAGTGGCTGCTAGGAACACCTAAGTTGTTTGGATTTACTAAGGCAAAAGAGAAAATAATAATGATAATATTTTGATAATCCAATTTATATATATTGAAATATTATTCTAAAATAATTATAAGGATTACTTTGACAAAAAAAGTTAGGATTACATAAAAATTAAAAAGATAATGATTGAATTCATAAGAAATAAAAATACAAAATAATATTAATTTTATTTTCAAAATCATGTATAACAAAAATATTCTTCATAGTGATTATAAAAATAATGCATAATAAAAATATATGATATTAAGTTAAAGGTTTAATAATTAGGATAAAATAAGTGTAATTTATTTAATAAAATATTTTGATAAAAAAACTTATATAAATAAGATTATTTATTCTTTATATTTTATTCTCATCTAAATACTTTTCTATATTTTTATATTTTTTTCTTTTTTCTTTTCTATCCTCTAAATACATTCAATAAAGTTTGTTCAAGATGACAATCATCTAAATTAATCAGTTCAAACTTATTTATTATTATAATTTTTTTTATAAAAACACTAATAATAATTTAGGAAGGTTAAATAAACCCAAAATACTTAATGATAAAAGAGTTTAATAGTATGTCATACTTTTTCAGTAGGAATCGTAGTGATTATGACTAGCTCTAAAACAAATAAAAGAAAATAGGAAGATACGTAGAAGATTCAAATAGTAAATTGAGGTATGGATTTATGATAATTTTTTATTTTTATCTTTTTACATCTTTATTTACTTTAGTGTACTAGTATTTCCCAATAGTATTTTCTTTCTTCATCATGCTTTTAATTTTTTTTTTAATACAATCAATTGAGATAATTCTCATATATACTTCTTTAGATCTGAAAGAAATTCCTTGAATTTTTGTGAAGTCATTATTATTCAATCAAATTTTATATTACGTTTAAGATATTAATTATATTCCTTTTACATTATCCATTTTTTTCTCCTTTTTAAATTAAAAGATGTAACTAATTCTTTTTTATAAGAATAGTATAAATTTGAACTGAGATTTTGAATTAGACAGTTGCCAAATGTTTAATTTAAAGTAATTAACTTGCATTGAGAAATTGATCAAATAGTAAATGGGATACGTAAACACTTTTACATTCTGCTTAGCAGTGTCTGGTTGTTTCATACAAAAAACTTGTATCATTAATATTATTCGGCAAAGATCACAAGGCAAAGAAAGAACGAAGTAAAAAAATAATATATGTTCTGCAAACCACACATGAATGCATGTTCTTCATATGAGACTTGGAAAGTGTCATGTGATGACAGATAACAAAATGGCAACAGCGAGTCCAACACTTGGCCATGTATTCCCTTGCTTGTAGTATGATTGTGAACCATTCTGTAAATAAAAATGAAACCATGAGACATGGTTAAAACTGTTAAGGACTTCATTACAAAACTTATAGGTTAAAGAATACAATTGTAACTAAAATTTGAGCGTTGAAAGACATATATATTACCGCATTGGGACTTGGTGCCGGTGCTGGCGTCTCTTCTGACTCGGTTGTGGTAATATCTTCAACAAGTGGTGCTGGGGGACTCCTCCGAATAATAGTTGGTGCTGGAGCCAGAGATTGTGAATGGTGTCTCTTGTGCTTGCGCTTGTGTCTTCTTCTCCTGTGCCTGTGGGGAGGAGGTTCTGGCGTGTCATCTTCGGGAGCTGGTGCTGGTGTTGGTGTTTCAATCGAAGGCGTTGGTGCAGGTGTTGGCGTGTTACTTAGCGGCGAAGGAACAGGTGATGGCTTTGGTGCTTTCTTTTTGTGTGCAGGTGCTGGTGCTGGTGCTTTTTTGGCTGGTGCTGGCGCTGTTGGTGCTTCGGCTGGTGTTGGGGATACTTTCGGAGCAGGCAATAGTGGTGAATCAGCTGGTGGTAATGGCAGCGGTGGGGGTGAAATAGGTGCTTCTTTTGGTGGTTGTGGTGGTGGGATTTTGGGGGATGGGGGTTTTGGACTTAATGCTGGTGTAATCTTGGGAACAGGTGGTTTCACAGGTGCTATTTTTGGAGGTGTTGTTTTGGGAACGGGTGGTTTCACAGGAGTGGCGGTTGGTGGTAAATCCTTGGGAACTGGTAATTTAACTGGAGCAGATGATGGGGGTAAAAGCTTGGGATCAGGTAATTTCACAGGAGCAGATGTTGGAGAAATCACTTTTGGAATTGGTGATTTCACAGGAGCAGATGTTGGAGATGTTACTTTTGGAATTGGTGTTTTCACAGGAGCAGAGATTGGAGATGTAACTTTTGGAACTGGTAATTTCGCAGGAGCAGATGATGTTGGGGATGTAGCCTTGGGGAGCGGTGATTTCACAGGAGCAGACGATGTTGGAGATGTAGCCTTGGGGACTGGTGATTTCACAGGAGCAGACGATGTTGGGGATGTAGCCTTGGGGACTGGTGATTTCACAGGAGCAGATGATGTTGGAGATGTCGCCTTGGGGAGCGGTGATTTCACAGGAGCAGACGATGTTGGGGAAGTAGCCTTGGGGACTGGTGATTTCACAGGAGCAGATGATGTTGGAGATGTCGCCTTGGGGAGCGGTGATTTCACAGGAGCAGACGATGTTGGGGATGTAGCCTTGGGCACTGGTGATTTCACAGGAGCAGATGATGTTGGAGATGTAGCCTTGGGGACTGGTGATTTCACAGGAGCAGATGACGTTGGAGATAAAACCTTAGGAACTGGTGATTTCACAGGTGCAGTTGATGTTGGAGATGCAACCTTGGGAACCGGTGATTTACTAGAAGTGGGAGAAGTCGCGACTGGTGGTTTCATTGAGGGAAGAGGGGTTGCTATAACAATTGGTGGTTTTGTGGCAGAAATGGGGGAAGCCGTGGTTGGCAATTTGGAGGGTGCAGATGCGGTTGCTGGTGTTGGCTTGCTAGTTGCAGTGGGAGAAGTTGCTGCTGGTGGTTTCTGCGAAGTGGCAGGAGTTGCAGCCACAACAGGAGGTTGTTTGGCTACTGATGGTGCAATTGGAGTAGTTGTTGGCAATGTAGAGGGTGCATTTGGGGTTGTGGTTGGCAATGCAGAGGGGGCAGTTGGGGTTGTGGTTGGCAATGCTGAAGGTGCATTTGGGGTTGCTGTTGGCAATGTAGAAGGTGCATTTGGGGTTGTGGTTGGCAATGCAGAGGGTGCATTTGGGGTTGTGGTTGGCAGTGCTGAAGGTGCATTTGGGGTTGCTGTTGGCAATGTAGAAGGTGCATTTGGGGTTGTGGTTGGCAATGTTGATGGTGCATTTGGGGTTGTGGATGGCAATGTAGAGGGTGCATTTGGAGTTGTAGATGGCAATGCAGAGGGAGCATTTGAGGTTGTAGTTGGCCATGTAGAAGGTGTACTTGGGGTTGAAGGTTGCCAATTGGAGGGGGTACCTGCTGGTGCTTGGGCATTGATTGTGGCTAGCGGGTAACTGAGGCTAGCTAAAGCCAATACCCAGAACACTGCAGCCATTGTTGGAGATGGTTTGGAAGTGGAAATTAGCTTGTTATATAGCCTCTGGTGTATGGTTATGATAGGATTAGAAGGTTAGGACGTAAACGACATATTGCATGCAAGAGGAGATGTAGCCTTCGTGTGATTGCAACATTAATGTAAACAATGAAAAAGCATAGGATGTCATGTCATGCATGAAGGGACCTACGAAATCAGAACTATTTCTCTTTGGATTTAGGGTCCATAGTTGCATGATATGAGAATACAATTTTACCTATTATATCTACATACGACCTATATGTTAGTAGAGGGTCATAAGCTTTTGTTAAAATCTGATGAACCACAATACCAATGTGATTTGAGATGTCTTTCTTTCCCTCAAGTTATCTCAAAAGGCTAGGCTACCCCTAAAGAAACAAGATAAACTCATAGTTCATAGGAATAAAAAAACACATTTAGTGGAATTGGGATCACCAAGTTTTCATATTCGATAACTGTATGTTCTGTAATCTTCTTGCTTTTATATATTATACGATAATTGTTTCAATAAAAATAATCGTTATATAATAGAAAGGTTTGTCTCTCGTATTTAAAACAAGATAACATAACTAATAACATAAGCAACTTTACGCCATTTTTGGTAATTTGCTGTATATATTCGGATTTTTTTCCCCCACAAAAATTGATTATCTTAAAATTGTTTTTCAATGAAATATTATAAAAAATAAAATTGAATGTTATTATAATAAATTAATAATAGACAAACATTTAATAAGAAGACCCAACATTAATACGGGCTTTCGAATGAAATCACTAATTTTGGCATATTCTTTTTTATCTTCATATTTGTTTTTTCACCCATAACCTATGTTAAATAACAAAATATTTTATGTATATTTTTAATTTTTGTGTGTATCTTTATAGTCATGCACCTCCTTTTTCCTTTCGTATTATAGAAAACACTGTCATCACCTATTCCTGATGAAAGTGGTTTTGTACGTAGCACATGGAAATGTGGGAAGAAGTGGTGGAACATATGTAGAAGGAGGACGCAAAGGAAGGGGCAAAATGGACAAATGGAAAGGGAGATTTAGCAAATTTATTGTGACCGTATCGATCCTCTCTTTTGAAAATTTTTCAGAAACATCATTTTGAAAAAAAATTTGTATCCAGCTTTCCAAAAGCTTTTCGGAAGCATTTTGGAATCACTTTTTCAAAAATTCTGAAAATTTTTTTGGATTGATCTTTTCAAAAAAAAAAATCTCAAATGTGTTCTAGAATCAGAGTTTTTCTACAATAATTTCAAAACATTTTCAAAAAACTTAAGAAAAGGTCCGGAAAAAAATTTTAGAATTAAATTTTCAAAACCTATTTATATTAAAGATAACATTATCATTTTAGATAAATAAGAGATGCAGAAAAATAATAATATGAAGGTGCAAAAAGAAACACCCCTAATGTAAACCCAGCAAAAGGATGACCCAATAAGAATTTTGATCTTCATTCTTATAATTTTTTAGATTGAATTTAAAAAAAAAATGAATATGTTCCTGAATCAATTTTCTGAAATAATTCTAATAAGGTAATTCCAAAAAAATTTCAATTTTTTTTTAAATCTCAATCTAAAAAATTTATTAAAGATAATATTATTATTTTAAATAAATATGGAGTGAAAAAAAAATATACATGAAAGTGCAGAAAGAAACCCCCTAATCCCAACCCAACAATAGGATGACCCATTAGAAAGAGTAGGGATTTTGATTTTGATTATGAAGCCCATCCTTATTATGCTTTCACAATACGCACGCAAACACAAAACAAACTTCATACTAAATCAAACTAAATTGATGGCATTACATTCTTAAATAATCATTGGATTAAAAAAATTAATTTCATTAATATTACTTAATTTTACTTAAAAATATTAAATATAATAATTTTATAAATTATTAAAAAAATAACAAATGGGACTGATTTTATATTTTCAAATTTTTAAAAAGTTAAAATACCTATTTTTACATTTTTTTTTACAATTGCAATAATTTTATATTTTCCATGCGAGTCCAATCTTACTAGTTAATGCAAAACAAGGCATGGAACTGGTGGTTAAGAATAATAGCAATTTTTTTTATGGGAATATTACATTTTATTTGCATCCATGATAAAGGTTAAATCATAAATTTAATTAGTTTTTAACTAGCTAGGATATTTTGTTTCTTCTACTTTGTTTTCAGATTTGCGCCATTGCATTATCCTTTAAAATGGATTAAGTCCAACAACTTAATTGTTTTATTTGTAACATGTTGGGAAATCCTTTGCAATTACTACATAAATTTCCTTTGGTATATAAAAACAAATCAATTCAAATATCTTTGTTATATATAGATGAAAATAAAGCAGGGAACTCCTTGTTGCAGGTAGCATCAATTGTCCTGTGACGAAGGTCAGGTGGGCCGAGTCACAATTGAATCGTGGCGCTTGGGCTGTTAAATTAAAAAGAGTTGCGCTCTGACTAATGGCTATAGTTTTTGGCCTAGTGGTAAGCGCTCGATCCTAACAATTGGTATCAGAGCCAGGTTACGAGTTCGATTCCTGGTGGGCAATTGTTGAGGGGGAGATTGTTTGGAGATGGACATTGGAAGGTAATGAAAGGTAATCTTGTTGTTGCTCGTGGAAAGAAGCAAGGATCTCTCTACATGATTGCAGATGAGGATATGATATCAGTTGCAGAAGTTGGCAACAATTCCTCCTTATGGCATCAGAGGCTTGGGCATATGAGTGAGAAAGGAATGAAGCTCATGATATCAAAAGGTAAAATACCTAACGTGAAGCATGTTGACGTTGGACCTTGCGAACATTGTATCTTTGGAAAGCAGAAAAAGGTTAGCTTCTCCAAAACAAGTAAGTCGTCTAAAGTTGAAAGACTAGAACTAGTGCATACAGATGTTTGGGGGCCAGCTTCAGTGAAATCCCTTGGAGGTTCACAATATTATGTAACCTTCATTGATGACTCTACAAGAAAGGTATGGGTTTATTTTCTTAAAAATAAATCGATGTGTTTTCTGTGTTTAAAAGGTGGAAAAAGGAGGTTGAGACTCAAACAGGTTTAAAGGTCAAATGTTTGAAGTCCGATAATGGTGGAGAATATGACGAGTAGTCAATTCAAGGAGTTTTGTTCGGAGAATGGGATCAGAATGATCAAGACAGTTCCAGGAACACCGAAACAAAACGGTGTGGCAGAAAGAATGAACAGAACCTTGAATGAGAGAGCAAGATGTATGAGAATCCAGTCAGGATTACCCAAGGTATTTTGGGCAGATGCAATAAGCACAGTGACCTATCTCATAAACAGAGGACCATCGAGTTCCTTTAGACTATAAGTTACCTGAAGAAGTATGGTCTGGAAAAGAGGTAAATCTTTCACATCCGAAAGTTTTTGGTTGTGCTTCATATGTTATGTTAAACTCTAATAGTAGAGATAAATTGGACCCTAAGGCAAAACGTTGTTATTTCATTGGTTATGGATCCGACATGTTTGGCTACGGGTTTTGGGATGACCAAAACAAGAAAATTATCGAAGTAGAAATGTTACTTTTAATGAAAACATGTTCTATAGAGACGGGATTGCGGAATCCGCAAATGTAAATAAACAGACTAGAGCAAGTATCATTAGAAGAAATTTCGAGAAAGTGATGTAGTCAACCGAAGGCGGAATATACAAGTAGAGCCTATGTCGAGCCCGAGACAGAACCTGAACAAATAGTAGAGTCAGCAACTCCTGAAATCTTGGTTAGAAGATCTAGCAGAACAATTGTAGCACCACAAAGGTATTCCCCTTCATTGCATTATTTGTTGTTGATCGATCGTTGGTGAGCCGGAGCATTTTGCTGAGGCTATGCAGGGAGATGAATCTATTAAGTGGGAGCTAGCAATGGAAGATGAGATAAAGTCCCTTCGGAAGAATAAAACATGGTCTTTAACCAAGCCACCAGAAGGAAAGAAAGTTTTGCAAAACAGGTGGGTCTATAGGTTGAAAGAAGAACCGGATGGCAGCAAAAGATATAAGGCTAGACTCGTAGTGAAAGGGTTCCAACAAAGACAAGGAATTGACTTCACGGAAATTTTCTCTCCTGTTGTCAAGATGACTACCATCGAGTTATCTTGAGTATAGTAGGCTGCAGAAAATCTTCATTTGGAGCAGTTAGATGTCAAAACTGCATTCTTACATGGGGATCTTGAAGAGGAAATTTTTATGACACAGACCAAAAGGTTTTGAAGTACAAGGCGGAGAAAATCTTGTATGCAAACTTCATAAAAGTTTGTACGGATTAAAACAAGCGCCGAGACAATGGTACAAGAAGTTTAATGAGTTTATGAGAAACTCAGGATTTCGCAGATGTGAAGAAGATCACTGTTGTTATGTGAAGAAATATGTTGATAGCTATATCATTCTTGCCTTATATGTTGACGACATGTTGATTGTTGGAGCTAATATGGCAGAAATTGACAAGTTGAAGAAACAATTGTTAGAGAGCTTTGAAATGAAGGATCTTGGTCCAGCCAAACAAATTCTTGGTATGAGAATCTCCCGAGATAGAGATAAAGGTATTTTGAACTTATCTCAAGAAAAATATATAGAAAAATTGCTTAGCAGATTCAATGTTGGGAATGCTAAAACCAGGAATACACCTTTGGGAACTCACTTAAAGTTTTCAAAGAGGCAATCTTCTCAAACAGAAGAAGAAGAAAGTCACATGTCTAAAGTGTCATATGCATCTGCAGTAGGAAGCTTGATGTATGCTATGGTTTGCACCAGACCAGACATAGCACATGCAGTGGGAGTTGTGAGCAGATTTCTATCAAATCCCGGAAAGGAGCATTGGGAAGGAGTGAAGTGGATATTCAGATATTTGAAAGGCACTTCAAAGATGCATTTGTCTTTCAAGAGAAGTAATCTCATTTTACAGGGGTTTTCTGATGCAGACTTGGGAGGTGATCTTGACGGTAGAAAGAGCACAACAGGTTATATTTTTACATTGGGTGGTACAGCTATCAGTTGGAAGTCTAAACTTCAAGGAAGGGTCTCTCTCTCAACCATCGAAGCGAGTATGTAGCTATCTCGGAAGCAGCGAAGGAGATGATATGGTTGAAGAACCTTCTAAAAGAATTAGGAAGAGAACAAGATGGTTCTCCGTTGTTTAGTGACGAGTCAAAGTGCTATTTGTCTTGCTAAAAATCCAATCCTTCATTCCAGATGTAAGCACATTGAATTGAAGTATCATTTTATCGAAACCCGATAAATGATGGAGACTTGAGTTTGTTGAAGATTCCAGGTGCGAGAGAATCCCGCTGATATGTTGACCAAGACTGTTACAACAACTAAGTTGAGGCTTTGCATTGCCTCAACTGGCCTTCGAGCAAATTGATGATGAAGGCACTACACTAGGTGGTAACGTAAATCAAACTCCAAGTGGGAGAATTGTTAGTATTATGGTGCTTGATTTAGTCCCACATCGATTAGGATTGTGAGATGAGGTTCTCTATTTTGTTATATAAGTAACCCTATGTAAAGTTTGAGATACACACAGAAATAAAAATACTTCCTAGTGTAGTCGTGGACGTAGGCATACATATTTTAGCCGAACCACGTTAAAATTCTTGTGTCGTTTATTTTTCTCTCCTTTATTCTTTCCTTTATTATTGTCTTGTTCCTAACAATTGGTATCGAGCCAAGGTCACGAGTTCGATTCCTGGTGGGCAATTGTTGAGGGGAGATTGTTGCAGGTTGCACAATTGTCCCGTGGCGAGGCCGGTGGGCCAAGTCACAATCCAAGAGTGGGATACCTTGTAGGACAATTGCTCGAGGGGAGATTGTTGCAGGTAGCATCAATTGTCCTGTGACGAAGGTCAGGTGGGCCGAGTCACAATTGAATCGTGGCGCTTGGGCTGTTAAATTAAAAAGAGTTGCGCTCTGACTAATGGCTATAGCTTTTGGCCTAGTGGTGCTGAGGGGGAGATTGTTGCAGGTAGCATCAATTGTCCTGTGACGAAGGTCAGGTGGGCCGAGTCACAATTGAATCGTGGCGCTTGGGCTGTTAAATTAAAAAGAGTTGCGCTCTGACTAATGGCTATAGCTTTTGGCCTAGTGGTAAGCGCTCGATCCTAACACTCCTTTCAATTATGGTTGCATATACATCTAACTTTGTTTGTGGAGACAATATTATAGACAAATATGAGAGACAAATTGTCTAAGCTTGTGCGATCAAACTTTATATTTAGATATTCTTTCAAACAAAGTACATCATATAACCAGTTACATGCACGTAGCTTAAGCATAACAAATGTTTTAAACACTTATATACCATTTCAAAAGTATATGCTATATATTCTTGACATTAATGTCCTTGTCTGTCTCTGACACTCTTCTGATTTCTGGCACGTCACCAGGGCTTATGCATTATGGCTGCTGAATTTAAACAATTCAGATGGAAGATCAAAGTAGGAACTGATGGAGTTATCTTCTTCAGTTTCATGGATTCTGGCCTGTGAAACCAGGGAACTACGTTCAAAATTTTGCCAAGAATTTGGCTTTGATGATGATACCATAGAGTTCACTGCATGCATTTGGGTTTCTTCTTTTCTTGCTTTAACTGGCTTGGTTTTCCCAAACCCTGGAAGAGGCATGCAAAGTGCACTGCATTTGAATCCCTCTTCCTTAACCCTATCACTTTTTGGAATTTCTTGTAGCTTGTAGTTGTTCATGTTTCTAACCTTACTTGATGGTTCAAGGCGCTTAGTTTCTTTCATCTTTGAAAAAGCTCCACGCAATGATTTGGTTGAATTTGGATGAGAAATGGCTAAGAATTTGAAAGAAGGTTGAAGTAAAGGTAGAGTGTACAAACCGGTAGCATTTGAAGGCGTGACAGAAGGTTTTCTCAGTCGCAGTGGATGCACAGCAATCTCCTTCTCTTTCTGTAAACTCTTATTGATCAAGCTTTTGGGCTTATCCATCATATGCCAAGTTTTAAATCACCGTCACAATCGTGGTTTGTTCAAGTTTTATGATATTGTAGACACCCCAAAAAGTCTTGATAACTTGGCCAAAACAACAGTGGCTAACCATTTATGAAAACTTTGCCATCATGGCCACACCTTATGCATTCTTTGCAATACCTGCATCATCTTCTTCTGCTATAAAATTTCTACTTTCTTCTGCACCATAGGTAGTTATATATTGTGACAATGTTAAGATATTTACACATAAAAAAAGGGTTTAGAGTGGCCATAAATAATTAACATAGCTGTTGGCGATTCAACTTATGATAAGTTTTCGCTGCCGGCATGTGTTTTTTTCTGAAATTGTGATTGTGAAATATAACGTGCATGCACGACATGATAAATATCACAATTAAACAACCGTGAAACATTACAGCATAAAAAATCTGTTGATTTCAAGATCAAATAATAAGGTATTAAACAAATAACTAATTTGATTCAAACTGTCTGAAATCATATAACAAGCCCTGCAAAAACACTATATAACTAAAGTTCAGAGAAACCATCTCTTTTCGCCAGTGATTTGATCACATCAGTTGACATTTTTAATCATGTTAAGTTAATTGAAATACCCATCTCATTTCCATAAACAATGGATCAATTCTATGTTGGATGTGCACGAAGGAAAAGAGTATATGCACTGTTTGCAGGCCATCAATTTTTTATTTTCTCAATTCTTTCGTCACTCTCTCTTTATTGACCCAAAATTTTTCTTTATCTATCTTGATTTCTGCGTAGACAATGTTTTCTTGCTCATAACAGATGATTGAACGTTGCTTCTTATCTTTCATTAGGTTCTAGCCAAACACTCACGCTCTTTCCAATACCAGTGATGGATTTTTGTGAAATTGGCCACTTTGGGTTCAAATTGGACCAATTATGAGTCCTCCTATACATCGGCGTATATAAAAAAGTTACTATTCGTTTCAAATCTTCCCCAGAACCTGTCACCACCTAAACTTTTCTTTTTACTATTCAATTCTCTTTCAAAATTTACTCTATATGGATTATCTTAAGTTTTTTATTCTTATAATGATATAGAGATTTTCTTTTTATTTTGTTTCACTCAGTCTACACTACAGATATGAAGTCAAATCAAAATGAATAGGTGTAATAACAGGAAAAGCCGTAACCAGGTATAGTGTTCTATAGCCCTGAAAAAAAAAAAAAAAATTGGGTTGACTAATAGAGAGACTTCTAAAAAAATAAACAACAAATTTCTAAAAATCATAGCCCTTATTTGTATTTATGAATATACTGAGGAAACGAGAAAGGGAATTTGAGGGAGCTTGCAGTTGTTTTTACATACTGATAAGTAGATTTAAGAAAAAAATGAGAGAAAAAAGTTTTAAGTATTTACCCTCTTTCATAAAAAAATATATATATAATTAAAGTAAAATTATCATTTTATCATATATATATATATATATGAGGTACACCATGTGCATTGAATAACGGTGTTGCATTATTAAGAATTATATCATGGAGAGAAAATATTCTTTGTCCATAAATACAATCATTCTCACAAGTAAAGGTTACGATTTTCTTCTTCCTCCATTCACATCACCTATTTTCAGTTTTAACAAGTTCTTTTATCTAAGTGAAGGAAAGATCGAGTAATAACAATTATAGTTATTGTTCTTCCATTTTTCCAATTGTATTTGAAGCTGCAACTGAACGAATGAAAACTCCAACCAATTCAACAATCACGAGTACAAGTAAATAAATTCAGTCATGATTTTATTAAAATATTAGTTGATGATAAAATAGTTGGTTGCTCGTTGATTTGTATTGGAGTACTAACTATAAACATGAATATCCTTCAGGTACATTACTTATGTAATAAGCCATAATTAATTATGTAACAAATCATAATTGAATATTTTTTGCTCATAATTGATTAACGGACATGGAATAATCAATTATGCTTGACCCATAATCATATATCAAGTCGTGCATAATTGATTAATATGGGTTTTACATAATTAATTATGCAATGACCCATATTCAACTATGTGCTAAATTTTACATTATGCAATGATGTAATGTAGGAAAAGATAGTTAAATTAACTAATTTTTAAGTTAGATATAGAAATTTGAGGTTAGATTTAGGAGATTGATTGGATAAATTTTAAGTTAAAATTTTAAAACTTATAAGTTTGATTTGAGGAATTTATGGTAAGATATTCAAAATTAAAACTTAAATTTGGTACAGTTTAAGATACATTTGAGTTACCTATAAAAAAATAAAAATTAGATTTGATAAATTATAAGTTATATTAAATAACTTTTATGTTAGTATGTAATATGAAATTCATGTTAATTTTGAGTTTTTATTTGTCAAAATTCAAAAATGAAAAAGAAAAATCTGATAAGGGAATAGTTAGTAATAATAATTAATTATAATATAAATAATTGTCAAATTAGTCTTTAATTTAAATTTATTAATTAATTTTTTTTAGTATTTTATAAATTGTCTAGATGTTAAATTCTGAAATAAAAAAATCTGAAAGTTAATTTTTTTGAGTGATAATAATTAATTATGTCAAAGTAGGAATACATTTTATTTTAGTATTTTATAAATTTTTTATATTAGGATATTAAATTTTAAAATAAAAAACGTGAGAGGTAATTTTTTCTAGTAATAATAATTAATTAAAATATAATTAATTATCAAATTTTTCTTTAAGTTTTAGATTTATGAATAAATTTTATTTTGGTATTTTATAGATTGTATACAGTAGGAAATTATGGAAAGAGGGTATTTTTTTTTCATAAAAATTCATTTTAAGTAAGAGGTATAATTTTTTATTTAGAATATACAAAATTTAATACAATAATAATTTTTAATTAGAATTTTATTATTATCCATAATATGATATAATTAATTAAAATAAAACATTTTAAGTTAAGTATTTTAAGAGTTTAAATTATATCTTTATTATTGTCAAGAGATAAAAAATAAAAATAAAGGTAAAGGTCAGGAGTTTGGATTACTGTAATTTAGTTATCATATTTTTTATGATTGTAATAATTAATTGGATAATTATATATTTTATGATTATAATTTTATTAATTATAGATGTAATTTTCCATTTAGTTATTATATGCACGTTTTAGTTTTATTTTTTAAAATTTAAATATAATATGTAACGAGAAATCAAATTTTTAACATATTTAATAAAAATTATAATTTTAAACTCACTTAAATAAAATCTAATAATTTAATTATTGTATTTAATATAAAATAAAAAATTAGAAAAGAAAATACGACAAAATTATAAATTATTATTAAAATAATACAATATTTATTCAAAATATAAAAAATTTTAAATATATAATTTAAACTGCAACAAAAAATATTTTATAATTAATATATAAAATAATTTTAATTATATTTTATATATAATGTAATATTAATATATTTAAATATTAAATACATTATAAATTAATTAACATTTTTATATTCAATAATATCATAATTATTATTTTTATTTAATTTATTTATTATAATAATATTTTAATTATTATACTAAAAAATATTATCCAATTTTTTATATTTATTTTTATCAATCATGTTAATTATAACAGATCTATTTAAATTTCTTTAAATCTATTCTCGTTTTGTGAATCTAAATAACTCATAATCTACTATAAGTCACTTTAAATTAATCACTCGTATTTCCGCTATCCAAACACAAGTATAATAAATTAAATAGACAAAGTTATATATGATAGGACAAAGTGAAACCATGAATCAGGAAATCATTAATTATGAATGTGCATATTCTTTTATGGTTACTTTATTTGTCTTCGTAGTTTAGTTTTCTTACCCTATTCACGTGATAGGTGCGTCCATAATAAATGAGTTGCCGGAAAACGCGGTAAAAATATCATATTTTTTCAAGAATAAAAATAAAAATTAGTCAACAGTCTCGTCTCCTTTTTCTTTGATTTTGTGGACCCTGCCTCTTATATTTCATTAAAATTAATTCACAGTTATAATTTATTGTGATATACAAAAGATACAATATTAGTTAAATAAAAAAGTTATTAATTTAATAAAATATTTATTTATTTTAAGAATAAACATAAAAGTAGATTTTTAATAATAATTTATTTTAAGATTAATATTTAAGATTAATTATTATTTTAATAATTTTTGAAATAATAATATTAAAAAATAATATTAAATTGATTTATTTTTTTATAATTTATATATTAAATAAGTATATCTTAAATAAAAATTAAATTTATTAATATAATTTAAATTTAAAAAACATATTTTTTTATTTTTATTTAAATTAATTATTTTTGTATAGATATATTAATATACTTTTTAACTTTTAATCAAATAAAAATTAGTTTATTAGTAACCCGGATCAAACTAGTTTTGACAACTTTATATAATTTTTATAAATAATTAATACTTATTTAACTCTTAAAATAACAGATCAAGTTAAAAAAAAATGGGATCACAAATATTAATACCTATTTTTGTAATTTCATGAATTTTTTTAAAATTAATGAGAATACTATTGATAAAGAAAAATTATATAAAGGTCACATAAGTCTATAGAGTGGAATGCATTTGGTTCAAAATAAATCAAATTTGGGCAGTCACGTGATATAAATCGGAATTATTGGATGAAAAAAAGAATATTTGATTCAATGTTCAAAATTATATATGTAGAAGTTCAAACATTTTATATTTTATATGATTTTTTTTTTTGTCATTTAGACTATCTACAAAAAAACGGTGAAAATCAGTCTTCTTTTTTAAATTATATATATTTATATATATAAAGATAATTATAATTAGATAATATTAAAAATTAAACTCAAATTTATTATTAAGTATGGGTGGATGAGTTTGTATTATAAGAAGAACTGTATTTTGCATAAAATTGTACCCTTATATATATCATAACACAATGAAATTATAGAAAGAAAAAATT